ACTTTATCCCCGCCCGCCCTTCCCTTTGTCTCCATTGTCGCACGCTCAGCATCCTTCTCCTTCCACCGCCCCTCGACTGTCTTCTCTGTCACCTTCCCTCAGTTTTCTACCCCTCTCTCCTTCAGCAAGCTATATTTACCTACTTTTCCTTTGGCCGTACTGCACGTCTGAAACGGTGCTCGCGCATTCGCAATATCTCCCAAGAAGAACAATGTTTTGCAAACATTATTAATTTAAAATGAAGAGAGGTTATCCTAGTATAGATCTCTATGATAACATTTCATCAGTAGACTTCACTTCAGAAATGGGTGATTCTGAGGTTAGGGGGCAAATTGCAGTTTTAAATTACTGAATTTTTTTTATCATCCCTTTGGCATATTTATGGAATTTTTTCAATATTTGTAACACTGTGGCCCTGAAACCACAAAGATTATTACACTTTTTTACTTTTTTGTATACCTTTATAAGGGCCTATACATCAACTCCGTTACAATTTTGTAACGGAGTTGATGTAACGGAGTTGATAATTTTGTCATGTTTGACCTTGTTGGTTCCACATGGAGCAAGGGCAAGATGCAAATAATATGTTTTATTCAAGAGGTCAATATGCATGTCTTCCTCAATTTATGATGTTTGGTTTCTATGGTTACTTATCATACAATTTGCGTAACAGAGGTGATGAATGCATTTAAGTACGCATTTATTTTTGGCAAATTTTCCACTTGAAATGTGATGCTGGTTGGTCTGATTGGTCTGATTGGTCTGATTGGTCTGATTTGGTCTGATTGGATCTGATTGGTCATTGGGTAACACCATTGTCTATGAATAGATGGCAGCACAATACAGTCGTAACCATAAATATCATATAACAACTTATATGTTGTTATATGATATCTATGGTCGTAACGGAGTTGATAAAAATTCAGGACAATAGGTCTGAGGTTCACCCCTCTTACACTTATGGTCACAGGCGCATGAAATTTTGCTGAATTACAGTTGAAACAATAGCAACCCCACCCAAACTAGATTTCCCATACCTGAATGATGACAACAGCTTCAAATCATTGGTGGAAAATTGGCTACCATGGTTTAGGACAGGTCATTCCGAGACCATCTGAACATTGAACTTAATTTTTTTTTAAGAAATCTCATGTATATGAAATCCATTTTAGTGCTAATTTTTTACCAGGATCCAAGACATTCGTCAAACAATAAAATTGATTCAAAACCTGGCAAGTCATTGAAGAATTCTGACCAAGGGTGGTCAGGACAATAATTTGCCCCCTAACCTCAGAATCACCCAAATAGGAAGCAGACCTTGCATGCATGTAAAGTCCCCGCTGCATATACCCTAACATAACCTGACTATGTTACT